GTCGATTATCTGTCATGTCCTCACGTACTGAATGTCTTCTTCCTGCAGCACGGAACAGATCTTCTATCCATCTGAGACATGGCTGAAATTCAACAGATGAACAAAATGATCCCAGGCGCTATTATAATGGATAGCACCCTGAGATATTTATCCTTCACTGTCAAGGAGTTAGACTGGATGATCTAATAGGCAATTTCCATCCATAATGTCTGCGATGCTTCTAGTTGAAAGGCAGCTGGGGATACAGGAATTATAATTTCTAATTATTAGTTAGCACTGTTTTATTTTTTCAGAGTGTTTGCACTGTTATTGCCGTGGTATAATATGGGGTAAAATACTTGGTCTCAGTGTAATTTATTAAATTGTTTCCTCTGATGTGAACAAATATTTGTCTGTGAAGAATACCCCAGCTAGTATGAACTGAGGAGCAGAATTCTCTCAGCTTTAGATGCTTAGTAATACAGAGCCCTGGTGCAGCACCTTCTCCTCCTCACGTCTGGATGATGATGTGCTGCTGTCGGGCAGCTCACTTTGCATCCAGCTGTCAGTCATCCCACTCTGGATCTCCACGCACTCCCCTCCTGGGGGGTCTGCATCTTCTCCTCTTGATAGCAAATCAGGTGCTCATTGTGATCTGCAGGCAGTTGGCGCTCTTACATAAAACACAAAATTCTGGTTGCAGGAAGATGATTTTCATGGTTACAGAGAAGAAAACTGAGTGCATCCTAAAGGTTAAGAAGCTAGAGAGTAAAACAAATATTTTTTTTTCCAAATTATCGTAAGCACCACTAAAGATTTTTTTTTTGAATTTTCAAATGGTTCATTGTGCTGGGGCTCTGCATCTCTGTTTCTGATTTTGGTCTATGCCCTTTCATTCCATCCTATTAAGAAGGATAGAGAGGGATCCAGGTCCTGCCAGGGAGCAGGACCTCCTTTCTGCATCATCAGAAAATTGTCAGATGCCAAAGGAGCCTTCCTTTCCTTTCTTAGTTCTGTTTTTCCTAGTTGCAGCAATTTCAGTACTTATCTTCACAAGCCTGGCATTTGGGAAATGTTGATAAATGTTTGTCCTCAGCTGGAGCCTTGTTTCTTTGATTACTGCCTCTTTAACATCAATATTGTTCTGACCAGAAGGACAGGGAAAGAACAGATTTCAACCACTTTCATGATCACGAGTTCAATATTAAAGAAAAAATCAACAGCAATGAAACTATTTTTCCATTTATTTCCTTCCATGTTGTCCAGGTACAAGTGTGCTTAGAGATCTGTAATCACCTAACCACAGAAACTTCACTAGAATTGTTTTTGAAATACAGAAAAATAAGTGTTTTTCATTAATGACAGTTCAGCAGTGAAACCCTCAATTAAAACCTTACACATCTGCTGAGTTAGTGATTGAAGACTACAAATTTAAAACACTTAAAGCAATCAGCATGAAAGTTCTGGTTTGGCTGAGGTCACAATAGCTCACCCCTCCTGTGTGCAAAGTGCCTCCAGGAGGAGCACACAGCTCCCTAAGACAAGGAGTCTGAAGGAGCCCCTTGACCTGACGGAGTTCCTTGAAGAAATTCAGATAGAAGTGAAGTGGTTTCTAGCTGAGATTATTATGCTTTTCAGAGCTTCAGCTTTCGTGTTTAAAATTTTTAGCACTCAAGTTTTTAAGGGCAGGACTGTTGAAGTACTTCTGAAGCACAGTAGGAGGCACTTAGCTTTTACCAGGAAAAGTCTCTGAAGCTTTGTTAGGATTAAGGAGAAGCTGTGCCTAGCTGCTTTTTTGGTTTCTGCTGCTCATTTGGCTGGGACTTGCCCATTTCCTACAGTCCCTTTCTCCTCTAGTACTGGCTGGTCATCATAAGATGCAAAAGGAATGGGATGGAGAATACAAAACTGCATTTTTGTAAATGTCAGCAGTGTCATCCAGGATACTCCGTTTAGTACTATTACCACCTGGTGGGGTTTGTCTGTGCACACCTGAACATCAAAAAGATGTGCAAGTCTAAAGCAATTGGTCAACATCCTCTCCAGGCAAATGACACAGATGTTTCTGAAGACTGAGTCCTTAGACTTCTATTAGTTGCCAACTGTACAAACAAGTGTATCACTTTGGGCACATACAGTTAGGCAAATGAGTCCTACCGTTTCTTTCCAAAAGTGTTGCAATTAAACGAGAGACATTTCAGAGGTAAAAGGAAATGGTCAGGGAAGAGGTTAAGGCCTTCGTCTTCTGAGGAGAGATCGGAGAGTTTATATTTGATTGCCCGAGGAGAGACATTTATAAAATAGATGCAATTAAATTAATCTAATCTTTTTTTTCAGATGATGCATGTTTAAACTAGAATTCCCTTTCAAAGTAAGTTGTCTGAATTTAACAACAACAACAACAAAACCCCTTAATCATCATTTAGACAAATACATTCATAAAGATTTTCCCCAGTTAGTCTTGAAAACACCCCTGAGGGTATTACTAATCTAGCTTAGGGGTCTTGATTCAGTTTTGCATAAGAGCAGAGTGAAATCTAGTGAGAGGGGCAGATTTCTCTCCAAGTGCATCCTGTAGGCTGGGCACCACAAACAGAGGTGTTTGGCTGAGTCACAGTTGCTGCCATGATGAGGTGCCACGGCCAGAATCACTGCCTGCTACTGTGTGCAGTAGTGGCCTGCTCTGCTTTCAGTGTTGAGTTGCAAGGTAGAGGAGGTGCAGGAGATGGTGAGCAGGTATAGCTGTCATGGAAGATGAGCAATTCTTCAGAGACCTTGCAGAGCCAAGAACCTGAGCCCTGTGTTACCATGAAGGACAGACGACTAGAGACAGTATCAAGGGGCAAGGGTGGAAACTCTTGACGTGGGGGAGGCTGGTGTTGTGTTACTCCTGACAACAAACCAGAAAACCCTTTTTCTCTTACATGAAGTACAGTTCAGCAGTTACAGAGCAGGGATAGTACTCTGGGGAGAGGTGGGAGAGGTGACCCACCTTGTGGTGAGGCATCAGAGCCAACTGACCCTCCACTGTTAAAGGCTCCAAGGAAAGGAGGGTAGTAGTTATCACAAACTGTCTCCTGAGGAGAAATTTATCTGTCAAGCTATCTTGCTGCCTCAGTAGGCATGCTGCTTGCCAGGAGCTTAGACACGGTATTGCATGCAGGCTGCCAAGACTCATCTGACGTTGGGACGCTGAACCCTGCTGCTCATGCATGTGGGCATTAATGATACAGCCAGGGGAGCCCTTGAGAATATCACAAGTGTCTACTTGTCTTTGAGGTCAAGGGCAAAAGTTGTGAGGCCCAGCTGGGGTGTGTTTGATCCTGCTGATGAGTGGGAAAGACTCAGGTTGGAGTCGATACATCTTGTGAGGCAGCCTCTGTGGCTGGTGTTGCTGGAAGGGCTTTGGTCCCTGTGGAGCAGGGACTGCTGAGGAAGAATGGATTCATCTGACAAAGTGGTGTGAGGATGCCTTGACAACAGGCTTTGTAACCTTGTGAGAAGGGCTTTAAATTATGTTTGTTTGGGAAGGGGTTTCATTCTCTGAAATGAAGGCTGAAGAACAGTGAAAAGTATTTTTTATCACAGGAAACAGCTCTTGCAGAATGGAGAAGGATTTATCTGACACAAATGTATAAAAAAAATCTCAATGTTTACATCTATTTCAGCTTATTTTTGTAAGTGTACACATTTCTACACATTTGAATCCCAATGGACAGACAAACTCCTACAATTTGACATTAAAAAGAAGTTTTTACACTTGCACAAACCTTGTATAATCTTTTTCATTAATGCTTTTTCTGGTACCACCTTCTGCCAACTCACAGGCAACTGGTAGGAAGAAAGGTCAGGTCTTGAACAGCTGAATCTGTACAGAAGTTGGCAGAATCTGAGACTTTCAAAGATGACGGTGGTTTGAATGAGATCTCAGTGGTGTTTTTTCAAGAACAAAATGGCTAAAGTTATCGGGCTGTTTGGCTGTTACTTTCTAAAACAATTTCATGTCATTTCTAAAAGGCGAAGAAATACTAAATATTTCTAAAATTTGAGTGTCTGATGCTGCCGCTGAGTCTTACTGAAATATTCCTGTGCCTTTGGTATAGAAGGAAGGATATTTAAAGGATACTTAAATTCAAATTGGGTACCTTTGTCTGCTTGTCGCCAGACAAAATGTACAGGTGAAAAACTTCAGATTTAGTACATGCTGGTAATTTTGGAAGAGTGATATTTTGTCATAAATTACTTGGAAAATTCTAAAGAGATTGACATGGATTTTATATTTTCTTGATTTACCCAAAGATTTCTCAGGCATTATTTCAAAATAATAGGAATAGCAGCAGTACCAGTAGTAGAAGTGTTTTGTTAGGTCAACAATACAGTAGTATTAATAATGAAAATTAACACAGTCATGCACATATGTTGTTTGTTTGGTGAACACCTACTAAAATAAAAACAACATCAAAATGCTTGAAGCATGTCATGATTTTCTTTTGGTGAACTTGAGCGTTTGGAAGATTTAAAAGATGATGGAAGAATTATGGCTTGCTAGGAAAGTAAGCCAAAATAAGTTACGTCTTTATAACATTCTTTAATGTAAAATGCTCTAGGGAGCATAGAAAGTTTCAAGACCCTATGCCTTTTCCTGGAGATATGTTTATCAGAAAATTATAGCATTTACTTGTGGGCTATTTAAAATTAATTATTTTAAAGTAATGAAATAATTGGCATGTGGTAATTAGTGAGAGCTAATAGTGAAGTGGTTACTTTGTTATGGACAAATAGCTTTGTAAGCAACATAAATTTTGCATCTCATTTTAAAATTAATTCTTACTTAATGAAGAACTAAGATACTAGGAATGAATAATATTTCTGTTGCTATGATGGGCACCTGGCAGGTTGATGACGAGGAGGAGTAAAGCTGGAGAATTAAATAGTGTGTTGGAAGATACGTTAATTAGACTGTGCCACACTTCCCTAATCTTATGTTTTTGTTTTCATTGTTTTTTTTCATTCTTCCATAGCCTCAGACTATTCGGCAAACTCTTCAAAGGACACTGCAGTATTTTGAGCATCAAGTTATTGGGTAAGTCTTAATTTGAGGTAATGAAAGATGCATGGATGTGCTTTCCTTTATGCTTTCAAAGTCACAGCCTGGGCTGACTTTAATTTTCCTTACAAACTGCTAGGGAAGCTCTGGAGTAGCAGCACATACAATGGATATTAGTGATAAACTGCTGCCCAGTCCTTTTTCTGTGCAATCCCATCACACCACGACTACTTCATTAACAGTGACATTTCTTGTCTGAGGAGAATAGGGAATCTTTTTATAAAAGTGTAGCACCTACTCCAGTTTGCTTCTCATAGAGCCAGATGAGATTTCTGGAAAAATTATTTGTTCTGTGAGCTGAGGCCCCAGTCTTGCAAAATTGTACATAACTATTTGGTGCGTATGTGTATGGTTATATACTTGTTTTTTGTGTGTGGGTGGAAGCACGGCAGGGCAAAAAATCACCTCCTAAGAGTTTATTAAGAAAATTTAGAGATAACTGAGGATTTAAATATAGTTATAGCAACAGTCATCATAGAAACCTGAGATATTCTTTCATTGATCAAAATAATCTCCTTACAACCTTTCCTTTACCTACACAAGTGTTTTGGTTTTTGCAGACAGCTCACGTTTCTGACAGAATACAATGGATGCTTGTCTGTAGCCATTAAATGGCAGTGCCATGTGACAAATGAGGAATGCTGTCCTCTGAATTGAATTACGAAGATGTAAGGGAAGTTTTTTTCAAGCTGCATTTAGGGTCTTTTTAGGATTTATGACATTGTTTTGAAGCTCAGTGCACTGGAGGAAATTTCCTTTGCCTGTTTCTCAGCGTTTGGTTAAAATTCAAAGGGAGCCCTAGCTTGGTAGGTGACTTGCAATGTTAGCATGCCTGGATAGCACCTGAGGGCAAGAGAAGGCAGCCAGTCTTGTCAGGTAATTATGATGTCCACTATGGGACAAAGAAAGGGAGAAACCTTCTGGCTGCTAATATTTTCAGTTGTGAAAAAAATTGTGTGAAGCCTCATGTCAAGAGATTCAGTGGGTGAGACAGAGCCTTGTGAGAAGCATATGTGCAAAAACAATGCTGCCTATAATTTATGGCCACATGTTGTTTAGATATTCTTATTTCAGTGGACAGAGTTTAAGAACAGGACACTCTGGAAACCTGTAATTCCTGTGATTTACAATACACTTTGACTCAAGTTTTTGAACACTTGCATAGGTTTAAATAAATCACAGTGAAAGTAGAATCTGTCTGTAGAAAATGTCTTATATTTGTGCTGTCCTTATACGCACTGTGGTGGGCCGCCCTCTGCCAGGCTCAACCTCACTCCTTTATCCCTGCCTCCTTTCCTTCCTCCCTCTGAGCCATGGAAGGCATTGGCGGGGGGGGGGGCTGAGGTCAGTCATAAACACCGTTGCTCTGCTCCAACATGAACACTCCTTGGCGTATCCCCCTGCTCCAAAGCGGAGTCCTCCACCAGCCACAGGGGAATAGCTGATCAGTGCCCGGGGTACCTCCTACCCATCCTCCTTGGCTGCCCCTGCTGCTGATGCAGTTGTTTCTCACACTCTTTTGTCTCATTCCTCACATCACCAGGTGTTGTTTTGCCCTTTATTAAACATGCTTTCCCAGAGGCACCATCAACATGGCTGCTGGGCTCCAACCATGCTCAGTGTGGGGCAGCCTTTCCTCACAGAGGCCCGTGTAGCCCCACAGCCAGCACCTTTGTAATGACACCCATACACCATAAATGTTTATTAAATCCCTTGTCCTCCTCAAGAGCAGAGGTGAGGAAGGGCCGTGGTGCCATTCCAAGAAGCCTGTGGTGCAGCCTGCAGAGGCCTTATCTCCTGCTCGGTTGTGGCTTTGGGCTGTGACTTTGAGCTCAGGCACTGGGACAGGACATGGCCTGCTGCTGAAGCAGAATAAGGGCTGCTGTCCTTTGGCATGGCCTGGTGTCACCAGGGGCCTCTGTGAATGTCACTGTAGAGTGTACTATCAGCCTTTGCTTTGCTCCCCATGAAAGACCAGTTTGTTGTTGGAGGAACCTGATGGGCAGCTCTGAATCCATCATAGCCTTTTCCACAGGTGCTGGCAAATCAGGTTCTGGGCTTTTCAGGACATGATCAGGTGAGAAGTCCAGTCCTTAGTGCTGTTCATGATTTATGAAGTATAAACAAAGTGTGAAAGCACAGCAAAACTGTTAATAAAATACTCATTTAAAAAATCTTTTCTCTGAGCACTGAGCTAAATCAATTGCATATTTTGCCAAGAGCATTGTCACTCTGCTGTAATATTTTCTTCACTTGTATTGGCTCCTCTGTCCTCATTATCACCTGCATAAAGCTTTGTTTTAAACGTAGTATGAGATTCTGTTCTGTTTCCATTGAATTAAGGAAAAACAATGTGGCAAAGCTAAATTAAACAGAATAATTCAGATGTCAGTTCTTTCCTGTTGGCCTGAGCACAGCTCTGTACATTTCAGCAGTGGTGGGATTCTTTTTAATTTTTCTCTAGCAGGCTTTAACACAAATTTTGTTTCTTCAGAAGATAATCCACTGAGAAAGCTAGGTTTTATTCTTGCAATGCTAATGTAATGTGACATGGAAGATTTATTCTTCTTATTAGTTATTCTCCATTGTCTCATAAACATCTTGCTTGGAGTTTGCTGTACAACTTTGTTAGAGCATCACAGCAGGGGTGACGTGACAGATATGCCTGATACCCTTCCCTCATGCCTGAACCCTTTGGAAACACCTTCTTTCTCATGTATTTATTCTCACTGGAGATAATATTCCAGATTCTAGTATAATACCACATGCTATTAATCCAGTGTCATCTGTGTGAGAATATGTATGAAAGGGATTGATGGGAAGAGGGAAGAGATGGGGGGGTTAGCGGCATCATTTATTACCATTTCTGAAAGTTATTTATTTTACATTTGCATAAAGAGATGATATATATTTTTTACTCTTTTACTCTAGGTACAGGGATGCAGAGAAGAACTTTCACAATATATCAAACAGATGCACCTACACAGACTGCTCTGGCAACGAAGAAACTGAAGATGTCTCAGGAATTCTCCAGTGTACAGCTAATGTACTTGGTATGCATTTTTTTAAGGGAATTTGTTTACTTTATTTGAAAAGTTTATTGACCATCTTATCACCAGCAAAGAACCAAGGCATTGTTCCAACAAAGAAAATTCAGGAAGCAGCTACATAAGTAGCTGATATATCATGCCCTTTTCTGCACATATTTTATGCCTTTAAGGCAATCTAGAATGACTTTGCAGTCAGGAAACTTTACAGACAGATCAAGCTTTAAACCTTAGGTTATACTTCCTCTAATGTTCAAAATTTCCTTGCTTTTCGTTTGGAGCCTTCAGTAAGCTGCTGAAATTAGGGTGGAAGGTGCAAAAGATGTAATTTTGGTTCACTGGAAGTCACCTTTGACCTAATATACAGTAATATACAGGATAAATCTGCAGACTTTTTATGGCATTATGCAGCTAGAATTCTTTCTTCAACAGGAGACATAGGAGTGAAGTCTGACCTTAGATGATAATTCACAGAATCATAGAATCAGGGAATGGTTTGGCTTAGAAGGGGCCTTTAAGATCATCTAATAAGTTAATTAAAGACGTGATGTACTTTTTATGTCAGGAGAATAATGTAAGGTCATAGTCTACCCATGTTGCAATGTGGACCACTGTATCCTCCTGACAAGAAATTCCTTCCTGAGGCTATCTGATTTGTGTGTCAGTCTTTTCTATCTCAAACAGTTAAACAGATGTGGTGCATTCTGTGAAACAGCTTTTGTGTTCTTGTTTAGAGATGAATGTTTTTTCAGTGATCAAAGTGTTTTTTCCTTTGTCAAGTGCCTTATTTTGCAAGATGATAAGCACCTTCAGGGAGGTTCTGAGTGCCTTTAGCTGCTGTTCAAAGCTGTGGGAAGAGGCTGTGCTTGGCACCTTCCATGTTTGGGCCACTAAGAGAACACACTAAATTGTAAATATGTCCAGGATTAATTACAGCATATTTTGTTTGCATCTTTAAATGATTGATTACTAACTCTCAGAAATAAATGCTATGAATTGTAAGGCAGGACAAAAACAAAGTAATGATTTTATGTAATAACACATACATATTAATACTGTTAATAACCCCCTGACAAATTAGATTTTCAGTACTCAGTTCACCATGAAACAATATATGTATTCCAAAACTAGTTACAAATACTGTTGGCTTCAGAGTGCTTTTAAATCAATATGTCAGTCCTGATCTGTTAGCATGGCTGAGTGGTGATGTGTAGCTGTTTTTTCGGTGGTATCCTCACAGTCTGTGTTGGGGGCAGATCAGCTCATTGGGATCCCAGTTTATAAGCAGCATCTGGATGTCACTGTCTTTGGGAATAAGTAAAATGGGTTTTGTTGGAAATAAATTTGCAGGGATTGACTCTTAGAAAAGCACTTCTTTTAAAGATAAAATCTGAGTTCGTAGTAAAAAAAAAAAAATAAAAAATTCCATCTGAGCAAAGCACTAACAACGAGCAATAAAACCAGTTTTTTATTGTAACTGTTAGTTCCTTTGGAGGCTGCGTAATTAATTCTCACATACAGTTATTTTTCTGGTTGAATAGGGGTTAGTGAGAATTTTCTGTACAAGAAGTACATTACTACTGAGATGGGTATGTGGAGCAATTGGCATTGCTGACAGAAGAACGAGAATGAATCTAACTGTGGTGGAGGCTAGAGAAACTGCTGAACCAAATCTAGCACTCAAGTTATTTATAAGAGTGGTAGCAAGGATTCACTGTCTAGTGCTGCAGGGAAGTGTATTCTTACAGATGCTTGGCATCAACCTCCTGATCTCTTACATTAGATAATGCCAACACAGATCACCTCTCCTGACCCTGTAACTGCCTCTAAAAGAGTCATTTGGCATTCCTTATTCATCCAGTGAATGCTGAGATCATTAGTAAGCCTAGAAGACTGAGCACGTTTTCCACCATGGTCCTGGTGCTCACACTGCTCACAGCACAGTACTGACTGCATGCTGCACTCCCAGCTCAATGCATACAATTCATCTTGTATGAACACTGGAATTTTCCACCTGTCAAGTCATGACAGAAGTACAGTACCAGCTTCCTGCAGTGGAAGGGCCTGGTTCTTCTCATCTTCTTGGTAAGTTATTCCTGCTACAAGTCTAGACATCAATAGAGGTATTCCTGCTTTAATCTGCAGTAATTAATGGAGCCACGTCCATCATGCTCAAATGCTGTGAACCATGTTTGATACCAGATCAGTGGTACAGTTTCCCTTCTGGTGACAGCTTCTGTGACTGGAATATTTAATTTAACTCAGTGTTCTTTTCATAATAGTACCAACAGCTTATGATGGGCTCTGGTTTTTTTAAGTGTGCATGCATATTTTTTACAGTATCCTTCATAAGCATATTATACAAAGGAAAAATAAGTAACAGTAGGTTGGAAACTGGGCAAAATAAAAATCCCAGCCTCAAAGAGAGCATTTTGAAATAAAATATTTCAATGAATAAATGCTGGTATGTTTTATCCTGTTGACCCAGATAATACCTTTATCTGACTAGGTAGACTGTTCAGAGCAGATTTTTGCTGTTAAACTGAAGTTATTTCAGGAGTAATGACAAGATTTGTACCATCAAGCATATTACGTGGATTTCTACTGCATTTCCTTCCATCTTTTATTCAATTAATTAATTTGTGCAACACAATTTTTTTTTAATCTGTTCTAAAAAATTGGCTTCTAAAACCTTAAAGCACAAACCCTTTTTCCTTAAAGAATGCACAGCTTACATCAATGGCAGCTAAGTTAGCTCCACAGGTGGACTTAAATTCATTGTACAAAGTTTTCCTGTCAGATATTTTACTCTTACAGATTAGTAATAAAGCTCACCATCTTGATCTTGCTTCTGTTAGTGGTGTGAGGACTTTGAGTCTCTGTCATTACTAAGTGAATAACTTTTTGGGCATCTTCCATGTGAAGGATGATATGACAAGGAGACAAGAATTCTTGGATCTTCTGGCGATATAATATGTGGGATTCCACATTATAGCCCTGTACCATCAGGAAGATAAACTGCATACCTAGATTCAGCCTCCCTGAGATGCTGAGGAGGAGGTGGAATTCATTGTTGGTGTGGGAATTCAGGGAGCTCTTTCCCTTGGTGAAATTTGCTTGTCACTACCACAGAAGATATGAGCTCTAGGCTTCTTTATACTGAGCAAATCATGTCATTTCTAGATATAACCGGCAGGTTGTTCCTTCATTTAGCCCACATAATTCCATAAAAGCCTTTTGTTCTTTGTACATTTGTCAGAGTGGAATGTCTGTGTTTCTTTTCTGAAACTAAGAAAATCTCAATATATTTTCTAGTTAAAAAGGAATAAACTTGAGATCTTTCTGGTAACTATTTAACAATAGTGGCACACTGTTGCTGACAACTACTGCATTTGAGAAGACAGGAAATACATTAAAAAGAAGATATCAGGACAGATCTCAGCCTACGATGAGATTAGATCAAGTGATGTAAATGGAAAAGATGGACAAAGGCTTGGCACACTCTCTGCTGAACAGATGCCTGAAAATTGTAAATGCTTGTATATTTAAAGCACATAAATTAGTTTCACTTTCCATTTCCTTTGAGCTAACAACTGCAGACAGTCATTAGGATGCAACTAATTTAGGATATACTGCTTGATTTATAATTAAAGCTGTTGGTTTACAAATGGTGTAAAAGGAAATGTTACATGGCCCAAAGGACTGGAGAGACTAATGGATTTTAGTAATACTTGGAACTGCATCCATCCTCAGGGGGGTTGAATCTTTACACATAAGGCTCCTTTTATTTAGCAGATATTACACTGCACTGGCAACACAAAAGTAATCTAAACAAAACCCACGTAGTTAATGAGACTTCAAAACTGAGATGAATACATCTAAATTAGAAAAGGACAAATACTGATACCAAATGGCCTTAGACTTTGCTGTTCTCAAACCAGAACTATTTATTGTTGGAAAGCATATGTACTATCAGTGCAGTATTGAGCAGCTTGAAGTTATGATGTACATTACCATCTTGTAGAAGTCTATTTATAAAGTAGAAGACATTTTGGGCGTGATTCATTGACTAACTGTAGGAGTTTGTCATTATTTTAGGTGCTGTGGAGTATCTAGTTTAGCCTATGTTAAACCTTCAGAAACATACAGGCCTTCCATAAGCCTCTATTCTGGCAGATTTAACTATATATTTGTCCTTTTGCAGATGTCTTGGATGCCCAATGAAGTTTCAAGTGGGATTAAATTTTTGTATTTATAACATTAGATTTATATATTTAATCATCTGAATTGAGCCTTTTATACATGTGGGGAACTATGATAGATGATTTTGCATTTCATGGGAAATGTTTTTAGATTTCATTACAGTTGTATTCTTTCCGAGAAATGAAGATCTCCTCTCTATGTAAATTCAAAGACATAGGTTTAATGCAAAAGCAAATTTAAAACTGTTCTTACTGCTGTTTGATCTCTAGAGTTAACACAAAGCAAACTGTATCTGCCTTCTTCTTAGGAAACATCAATTTACTAATTGCAATTCTTTGATAAACTCTGTGCAAATAGAAGTAGTGAGGTTTCCAAGATGCGATGGAGGGAACACAATGATTGCCATGCTTCAGGCAGTTTGCTTTTGCCCACAGCTGCTACTGAAAGTACTATATGAAGGAACAGAAAAAGAATGCTGCCTCTTCTTTATAGCTGAGTTGAGCTTTCTGTGTCAATAATTTGGTGCAGAATCCTTTACGGGTAGCCTGAGCACAGTTGATTGAGTCCTCACTGAGTGTAGTAATTACAATTTTTTTTTAATACAGTGTTTCTAACCAGAATTTGTTGGAGGAAAACTTCAACACCTTTAACAAGGAAAAAAAAGCCCCATTAAAAATTCAATAGAACAAGTATTATGGTGAGCAAGCATGAGGAATACTTTTAAACAATAACTGTCTTTTTTATTTTATGAAATGAAAGTTATGGGGGCACTGGATGATGCAAGGGAAGTATAGTAAGGGAAGTATAGTGCAAATTTTGCAGTTGTGTCAGAGTCATACATAACGGCATAAGATGATGTTATTGCATTTGAATAAAGGCAGTAAAATGATAACAAGAAAAATACTGCCTGAGTTTCCAGGATGATATAAATTCATTACGATAATCAAGTAAGATCAAAGTCTTTTTACAGTAATTAGATACTGGTATTAGAATCATAGAATAGAATCATAGAATAGCTCAGGTTGGAAAAGACCTTAAAGATCATCGAGTCCAACCACAACCTAACCATACTACACTAACAACCCTCTGCTAAATCATGTCCCTGAGCACCACATCCAAATGGTTTTTAAACACATCCAGGGATGGTGACCCAACCACCTCCCTGGGCAGCCTATTCCAGTGCTTCACAACCCTTTCTGATATCCAACCTAAACTTACCCTGGCACAACTTGAAGCCATTTCCCCTCATCCTGTCACCTGTCACCAGTGAGAAGAGACCTGCCCCACTCCCTCTGTAAGCACATTACAGATACTGGAAGAGAGCAATAGGGTCTCCCCTCAGCCTCCTTTAACCCAGACAAAGGAGGAAGCCACTAGGGTCACTTCAGCATTAGCCTGTACACATAAAATTCTTTCTTTTATTGAGAAATAAATGTTGCTTTTCCTACTATTTTTAAATTATACTTTGGAATCTGGAACTGCCACCTGGCTTTGTGTTGACAAGACTGTTTAGGACAAGATTATACTCATGACAAAAATCTGCTAATACAAAAACATTCAAGGACTTTTTTTTTTTTCTTTAACTGAAGGCGACACAATCATAGAATCACAGAATGGTTGAAGTTGAAAGGGAACTCTGGAGATCATCTATACAGCCCAGCCCCCCTGCTCAAGCAGAGATAGCGAGCACATTATTCAGTGTCAAGTCCAGAGAGGTTTTAAACATCTCCAGGGAAGGAGACACAACCTCTCTGGACAGCTCTGTCACCCTTACAGTAAGAAACTTTTTCCTGGTTTTCAGACAGAACTTTCCTTGTTTCATTTTGTGCCCATCACCTCTCATCCTATCAATGGGCACCACTGAGAGGAGTCTGGCCTCACACCCATCCTCCTGACATTCTTCTTTTAAATACACAATGATTAGATCTCCCCTGTGTCTTATCTATTCCAGGCTAAAAGGCCTAGTTTCCTCAATCTGTCCTCATATGAGTGATGCTCCAGTTCAATGATCATTTTAATAACTCTTTGCTCAACTTGCTTCTGGAGCGCCTTGTCCCTCTTGTACTGTGGTATTTGGGATTGGTCGCAGTACTCCAAGCATGGCCTAATCAGAGCTGAATAGTGTGGAAGGACAACCTCCCTTGACCCGCTGGCAATATTCTTCCTAATGTGCCTCAGGGTACCACTGGGCTCTTGGCCACAAGGGCATCTTTCTGGCTCATGGTCCTTGCTGTCCATCAGGACCCACAGGTCCTTCTCCACAAAGCTGTTTTCCATCAGGTCAGCACCTAGCCTGTAGTGGTACACGGCGTTATTCCTCCCAAAGTGCAGGACCCTGTACTTGCCAATGTTCAATTTCCTGAGTTTCTTCCCTGCCCAAGTATCCAGCCAATCAAGAGCTGTCTGAATGGCAGCACATTTCCTGAGCTAGCCTGTAATAATATTAAGGCAGACAGTGTCAAAATCCCTGCTTAAGTCCAGGTTGGTAACATCCACTGCTCTTCCTACATTTGTCCAGCTAGTTGTCTCACTGTAGAAGGCAATCAGGTTTCCTCTGGTGAATCCATGCTGGCTATTCCTGATCACCTCTTTCTGTTCCACATGCTTAGAGATGGCCTCCAATCTGAGCTGTGCCATCCCCTTTCCAGGAATGAGGAGAAGCTGACTGGCCTGTAGTTCCCTGCATCCCTCTTCTTGCACTTTTTGAAGATCGGGATGACATTTGCTTTCTTGTAGTCCTCAGGCATCTTTCCTGATTGCCATGATCTTTCAGAATGATTGGGAGTGTTTAGTTTTCTTTTCGTTGCTGATGTATTGGAAGAGGCCCTTCTTGTTGCCCTTGACATCTGTAGCCAGATTTAATTCCAAACGGGCCCTTGTCTTCCTCATCACATTTCTGCATGCAGGATGTTTGTTTTAGGAGGTTGTTTGTATTTATTTAATTTTCTCAGTGTTTCATCATGTCTATTATTAGAGATAAAATTCCTGACTAAAACAGACCAGCAGTTTGGTCTATCTTGTGCATACACATTTTTCTATTCTGAGTTAATCTAATTTCAGCTGGTACTATGTGTAACTCAATTCAGAACTAGAATGTTTTTAGAAGTAGAGGCATATCCTGGAGTCAGATCATTGACTTGAATATAATTGGATAATTCATGTTGTTTGGAGTTAACATGTTATGTCCAGACTGAACAGACAGTCTTCTAGAGCAAACAATGGACCAATCTTAGATAGTCAACAAAATCTTAGGCCAAATACTAAGATAAAGCTCTTTTCATTGACTGTAAGTCGAGACTTACCAACGTAGCATTAGAGTATGGGGTATTGGATTACCAGTACTACTTACCCTGGTTTTGGTCAGTGGTGCTAATGCAAACTACTGTTTTAACTGTAATGTTATAATATGCTTGAAAGACAGCTCCTTCATCCATGCTATCGTTAAGGAATGCTGCATATTTGTGTTCCCATACTATTTGGGCCTCTGCAATCTTACAACCTTGGATGCTCCTGCTGAAGTCTTGTGAGTGCTCATTTCTACAACCATACTTCTTTTGAAGTTCACTCTACACTCTACAGAAAAATAAGATTTACATGTATATATGTTTGTGTGTACACATGAAAATGATAACTTCTTAAATTCTTGTTATTAATATCCAATGCTGACATTGGATACTGGTTAGAATTTAATTATTTTGTGGTCGCAGTGAGAATTTTTGTGGAAAATATTACGTTACTTTTTTATGCTGATGTAGTAATAATGAGTCAGTAATTGGCATGCTGTTCTCTGAATTGGGATATTAGCAGGCATTATGTACCAGAGGTAATTTTTTCTGGCTTAGCTGATGATCTGACCATCTGTGGGCACAAAAGATCCTGGGAATATTACTGTAATAACCTACTTTAGTGACCGAAGTTCATTATGAGTAATGGCCTTCAGATGAACTTTCCCAAACTATTCCTATTGCTTTGTCATGTTGTCCTGTTTATATATGTAATTTTAGAATTTTAATCTGCTATCAATCATGCTGAAGAGCCAAACAAAACTCTCATTGCAGATGGTTTGCAAAGGTATGGAATACACTAATCCCCTGTAAATATGATCCTTGTATCTCTGCCTATGTGCATGGGCCTTCCTTGAGATGATCAAAGGTTATAGTCAGCAAATGACAGATGAGTGACTTCTGTCCTGCTATACCTCTTGGGCATGAAAAACTCTTTTCACACTATTCTTCCAAATTGTAAAGCCTACAAGTAATTTAAACAAACAATAAGAAGTTTGGTGATCCATTTGGATCGTATCTATGTTATAAAGCATGCTGAATACATATTAAAATAAAGGGCCTATTGCACCCTGAGGAATGAGATTGCTCTTCATTTCTGTTAGAACTCAGGATCGATTTTAAAGTTCAGTAGAATTTAATAAATTCAATACACTGGAGGAACTGTGTAATTTATTTCTTGCAGGATATTTGTAATTCACATACAGCTTATTTATACTTCTTTTTCTTCTATCACAGCTTAGTAAAACACAAATATAGCTGATGAATTTTGTAACTATGCTACGTGATATAGGATTAATGTCAGATGAGATTTAACAGAGCATATCCTACCTAAAATAAGACAGAAAATGTTCAATAACCATCTTAAAAAAATATATTTTTTTCTAGTTTTAAAAGTAAATAAAAAATGGGTAGCTTTTGATAAAAAATTATATCCAGAGACATCTATTACAGATATTTCCTTTCCCTTGTGCAATACCAGCCTTATCACTTCTGTAAATCAAAACCTTTTGTATTGCCCTGATGGAGACCTGAAGTGACATTTAGAGATATAACAGACCTGTCTCAACTAATAGCAATTTAGAAAGTTCTAAGGGGCATGGATTTTTCGTAAGATAGATGAATGTAGAAGCTCAAAATAGCGAGATTTTGTTTTCCTTTTCAGGCAACAAAAAAGTAACAATTCTTTATTTCTATTTTCTTGCAGTGCCCATATCTATAATGAGAAAAATATTTTGTCCATAGAAAAAACCACCACCACCACCACCAAAAAAACCCAGCTACTCAAGTGTATGGCTTTGCACTGCTTTTGAAAGCCAGTGGTCTCACTTCGCACTTCTCATTAAAGTCGAAATTAGCATTCCAGAAACTCATTATTCAAGCTGGTGAGAGCTTGGTCCTTTGAAAAACAGCAAACAAGAGGGGCTATAAAAGCAGAAACCTCTCCCATGTCTGCATCAGCAATGGCTGGTATACACCCTTGGCTGGGTGTATTTGCACAATAGACTACATGTGACACACACTTAAGGGAAAGTTAAAAATTAGGAAAATTATAGTGTGTTTTGGCTTCCAGCAGGGAAGAGGAGACAAGACAAGTGCAAACCTCACACTTAGCTGGTTAGGATCCAGGGCCGAAAGCATGAGGGATTGAAATGGCAGACAAAAATGACTACTAGAATGAAGCAGCATGTTTCAGGCATCCAAGGGTACCATTCAGGCATTCCTAACTACCACAGAAAAAAGTGGTTCCATGGGTAAATAAACAGTGAAATAAAACACTCTTAATCACTTGGAAAAATACTGAGAAAACAAACAACAAAGGGATGATGTGACACAGTAGCTATGTATGTATTTGACATGAGTGTCTTGTTGTCCTATAGGTCTGAAATTTGAGGAAATGCAAGAAAAATTTGGGGAGGAATTCTTCAATATCTGCTTTGATGAGAATGAAAGAGTTCTTCGAGCTGTAGGTGGGACCCTTCAAGACTTCTTCAATGGCTTTGATGCTTTGCTGGAGCACATTAGAACTTCATTTGGAAGACAGGCCACCCTGGAATCCCCATCTTTCCTATGCAAAGAGCTCCCTGAAGGCAATCTCATGCTTCATTACTTTCACCCACATCAGATTGTAGGGTTTGCAATGGTGGGAATGATAAAGGCAGCAGCAAAGAAAATTTACCGATTGGACGTGGAAGTAGAACAGGTCACTAATGATAAACTGTGTTCAGAGGGGACGAACCCAGGTAATTGCAGCTGTCTGACTTTCCTTATCAAAGAACACGAAAATGCAAATATCACAAAAGCACTTCCATCAGGAACTTCCCAGTCTCCCTTAGATCTGAGGATTAGTATCAGCACCTTCTGCAGAGCGTTCCCCTTTCACCTGATGTTTGATCAAAACATGTTTGTTCTTCAGCTGGGAGAAGGTCTAAGGAAGCAGCTCAGATGTGATACCCACAAAACTCTGAAATTCCAAGACTGCTTTGACATAGTTTCTCCTAAGATCAGTGCCACATTTGAACGAGTCCTCCTGAGGTTATCTACTCCCTTTGTTATTCGGACCAAACTTGAGGATTCTGACTCTGAAAATAAAGACAAGGTAAGAACATTAATTTGAAGGACTTATGTGTATATGTGTGTGATGAGAGAGGAGTTTTTGTTCAGAAAGAAACATCTAAAGTCCTGTGTACCGTGAAGAGCTCAATTATGCCTTCCAAACAGGGTTAAGTGGTATTCCTCAGCCAAGTGAGTATTTTCCTAAATTATTTACAAGCTTTGCCTGAGATGCTGTAGGAAATCGTGACACTGCAATTGAGGAAATTCACTTCAGTGAAGTTGCTTAGTTCAGTTTGAATCAGAAGAGTGAGGATTTTTAGAAAATGCCCATTTCTAATCCTTAATTTCACTCCAGCTATATTATGATAACAATAATAGTTATTAAATAGTTATTAAACTAGGGAATAGCTTTCCATATATTTTCTGAAAGACTCTTGCTTCAGGGCTCACATAGCTACTTTAATATCCTGCTTCCCAATTTGGAAACACTGCTTTTGTCTGTGTCATATCTCACCCTGCTTCCAAAAAACCAGAGCTGTAAATGGTACCAGTATCACTTAACACTAATTTTAATGTTTCCCAATAATTTAAAATAGTACTTGTCCTCCTACTCTGCCTCTTCCTTCAGTGTTTCAGAAGAGAATTACCTCAACTAGTGTGCCTTATATTGAGTTCCGTGCATCCCATGTGAAAGTGTCTTCTAGAATAGACCTTCACAAAGACTTGGTGCCTTCTTGTATATCCTTGAATTCATGGAAAAATTTTTGCTGCAAAGTGAGATTCCAGCTTTATGCACTGACAACACTTAATACTTTGTGCTTATATTGAGAGTGTGTGCTTGGGTTCTTTCGAGATACTTTGGAGATTTCTTAAGTGAAATAATTAATGATTTTCAGAATTTTTAAGAGTTAGCAATCAAAAACAGTCAACCCTAATCACACTGATATTTACCTACCAAATTTCTGCTTAAAGATGGCACATATACAATTCAGATGATCTGGATATGACTTGAGAAATTGCACCTCTACTTTGCTGCTTACACTGGGCCAGTGTCAGAACAGCTCCTGTGACAGCAACATACCTAATTCCGGGCTCTTTTCAAAATATAGCCAATTCTGACAGCAGTAGTGTTTTCACCTTCTCTTTCACGCTGCTCTTTGGCACCAATAAAAATACTTCTGCTTCATTTTCCCCTTGAAACAATATTGCCCCAAGAGAAGCAAACTGGTACTTGTCATTTTGTATGATTTGATATATTCAACCTACTTAAAACCAAGAGGGATTTTGTTTTTCAGAATATATCCTCAAAGTCACCTGAGCCTGTAATTATGAAAAGAAAATGCTGCATGAAGAGTTAGAGGTTTTAGCTCTAAGCTTCCTTGTGGCATGGTTGCTTATCTTTTGAAAGGTGTTTGTGCAATATTCTTTCCTGCCACCTCTCCATCCCTTCCAGGTGTCTTCTGCCCTGGGACAGAGTCCCAGCTCCTTGACAACCTTTAGCTCTTCTTGAATCTGCTGTAAATGACTCTGAAGAGGAGTGTGTTGACTCCTAGTTTTCCTAATTGTACAGTAACAAACAATCTCACTTTCTTACCGGGTAGTGTATACCTGTGGCTTTCTCACAGGAGAGTATCAGGGAGTGAAGCTTGCTGGAGGCAGGTTTAGCAGCCAGATTAGGAAGAAACTCTACTTGCAAATGCTTGTTCTGTACCATCAAGCTCAGTCACTACAGGTGAGTTATGAATTCAGTCAGTGTAGTGCCCAGATGCCACTGAGGAGAGTGACCCTCTCTGCCTTGAAGCTGTGTAGAGTCACATCCTGAGTCAAATCCTGAAGTGTCAGCATACTAACTCAGTGGGAATCTTCATTTTTTGAGAGGCAGTTAAAAGGAAAGATCAGTAGTTAGGGGTAAATTGTTTATTGAACAGTAAGGTGTAAATGAGAGATAAAATGCTGATGGCAAAGTGCAGGAGACCTGGTTTAAACAAGTGCTGCAGGTATAGGAACAACAATGTATAGGTAACTTCTTCTGAGTCACTGATTTTGTAAGTACTTTCCAAAAGTTTCTGTGAATAATTATGGAATTAAACAAAGCTCAGCATGTGATTTTGCTAGATACTCAATTTTTTTTTTTAATTTTTTTTCAAAATGTAAGGTTGCACATACTCAGAGAGGTCATAATTGCCTTGCTTTCATAGATTTTGATAGAAGTGACATGGCAAAACTTTTATCTCATGCTCAAGTCCTTAATTTTCTACTGGATAGAAAAAGTAGACTGAGCTTTGAAAACTTCATGCCTTGCTGTACTCCCAAGGCTCAGGTTGCTCAAATATCTCATTCTGGAACTCTTTTCAATAGTTTGGAAACTGAGTTTTGGACCAGTAAGTCAGTGCTGCGAACAGGATCCCAGAAACAGTCAGCAATAACTAGTTTATGTATTTCCCTGTTTTTCTGTCACATATGTTTATTTAGTTTTTATTGGAGTTGCATCCCACTTAAAGAGATTTCTTTTTTTTTAGAGGACTCTGCTCTGATCTCACTACATTTCAAACTTGGTTACTTTAAATGACACTTGAAGGGATGCAACCCAGATGACTGCTGCAGTTTTTAAGCTGCTTAGATATCTCAGTGGTTTTTCAGTAAGAAAAAAAAAATATTTCAACAAGCTTTGTGGTAAACAGACAACCTTTCAGGATCTTTTCAAAATATTTTTATCTTTATTTCAGTGCATAAAATAGATTTTTTTTTCAGCCTTGCAGTAAGAAAGACAGAATAACAAAATAATTTTAATTTAGTACTTATTCAACGAAACAAAGTACAAGGTTTTGCATGTGGGTAAAGGCAATCCCAGATATATATGCAGACTGGGAGAAGAAATCTCAGCTCTGCTGAGAAGGACTTAGGTGTTCTGATTGATGAAAAACTTAACATGAGCCAGCAGTGTGCACTTGCCTACTTGGAAGGCCAATGGTATCCTGTGTTCCACCAGAAGAGGGGTGGCCAGCAGGGCCAGGGAGGTGACTGCTCCCCTCTACTCTGCCCTCATGAGGCCCCAGCTGGAGTACTGCATCCAGGTCTGGGGCCTGCAACACAGAAAGGACGTGGGGCTGTTGGACAGGGTCCACATGAGAGCAAAGAAAATGACTGTTAGAGGCTGGAGCACCTTTCCTATGAAGAAGGAACTGGGCTTGCTGAGCCTGGAAAAGAGAAGGCTGCAAAATCTCATTGTGGCCTTCCATTATTAAAGGGGTTTTATAAACAGGAGGCAAATCAACTTTTTACACAGGTAGATAGTGATAGGACAAGGGGAAATGGTTTTAAACTAAAGGAGGGGAGATTTAAATGTTACGGGAAAGTTTTTTACTGAGCGGTGAGGTGCAGGAACAGGTTGCCCAGAGAGGCTATGATGCCCTGGAGGTGTCCAAGGCCAGGTTGAATGGGACCCTGAGCAATCTGATCTAGTATTTGATCTAGCAGCTGGCAGCCCGACCTGTGGCAGAGGGTTGGAACATAATGGAACATAATGATCCCTGAGGTCCCTTCCAACCCAAGCCATTCTATATGATTCTGCGATTACAGCTCTCTTTTCTGATCCCTCCCTCCCTCCCTCTGTCCCTCTTTTCCTTCCTTCCTTCCCTCCTTTCCTCCTTTCCTCCCTCCCTCCCTCCCTCCCTTCCACTGGAGATCTTCACTTGCACGTAGACACGTTTTCCATATTATGGATAGTATCCCTAAACAATAAAACAGCACGATTACAAATGTTCTGCTTTCTATGGAAACTCATTTTACATCACTCTATCTGGCAACAATTATTTATTGCAGCAATCAGCAATACATTTATTATGAAAATTACCTCTATGATATCAATTGCTTGTAGCTTTACATGTGTTTACTCCGTAACACTTTAATGAAAGTTAGTGGAGTCACAGATGGAGTAAGACACTATTTAACTTAGGAAGGTAAAGGCTTAACATATCTGCTGGACTGCTCCAAAGCCCCTATCAAGCCCATTCACTGATGTTTCCTTTTCACAGAGATGCTGCATGTGAAGGTTTTGTTGGCTGTGTGCTTTGTGGCCAGGGCAGCAGCTGCCTGCCTAGTCCTTGGCAGGTCCTCTCACCCAAGCAATGGGCTGGGATATATTGCTGTGCCCTCCCTGGCAGCAAGTCCAGGTGCTCGCACAAAGTAAATGCCATGTTTGCAAACAAGTCTCTCCCTGAATCTCTCACCCATACAGAGAGTGTGCTGACATGACCGTTTTAATGTTTTACTTCTGAGCATTACTTAGATTTTTGTTGTAGCAACACTGCTCTCTGCCATCTGAGGTTCTGCAGGACTTGTCTTTCAGAAACTGTGACTTGACATGCTTGGTAAAAACATGCTGAATTAGGTATTACTGCTTTCTTAGCTTAAAGAAAAAAGAAGGTTGAAAGTGAACCATAAAAGATATTTGGGTCTCTGCCAGACATTCTGCAGCTGTGTTTTCCCTGTACTACTTACTGATCTCCTGTTCTCTTTCAGACTAACAGCTCTTTTCCATCTTTCATACATGCATATTCACTGGCCTTTGACTTGCTGTTAGGTCTCCTTACACTTTTATTCAAAGACGTTGTTTAAGAATAAAATTTGCACCTAAAACTGCACTAACTAAAGTGGTCATAATTTTTCTGTCAGGATGTTTTCCCCTTGAATATGCCATTTTACTATAACTTCCCTAGGAATTCAAAAAAATGTTCTGGGAAATAATTGCCTTGTTATGTGTTAGAGTATTTTGTTATTTTAGACTTTAATATTTTTACTATGAAAGGTTTTTTCATTAAAAATTATAATACAGTATTAAAAAATATGAAGCATTGTTTTTGACAAATACAGCCCCTCTCAAAATTTTATACTACAACAAGTTCCAGATGCCACTTATTATTCAGATTATCAAGAAACACCAACCCTGTAATGATAAAACATCCAGCAAAATGGAAGTGCCAGGTTTTTATAGCTCAGTACTACTGACTGTGCAGGCTGTCTGAGCCAACACCTCGGCTCAGC